CACATTTGCTGCATTTTCAACACCGCTTACCATTGACGGAGCACTATGCGGGATGATTGTTGGTTGTTGCGGTGGCCATACTGCTGCTGCTGCTGCTCGTCCTGTTTGTTGTGCTACTGCTGCTGCTGCTACAAGTCCAGGTGGTGGTGGTGGCAGTACGGAACCCACTTCACTTCGTACACCTCCATCATCACCGGCCAGATTTTGCCGCAAACGTGCATAATCTGAAAATGATTTTTTTCAAATTCAATAAATTTTATAAATATAATACCTCAAATAGCTGATAATTCATAATTTGACCCATGTAGCTAATGAATTTTCTAGCGAATCTGTCCAGTACTTCATCGTTTGGCGTTCAACTTTATCGTAATCTTGATTTTTGCTTCTTCTGATGGGACGGAATCATACAAAATCAACGGTTCTTCCGACAGAAGCACTTGACAAGGCTTTAATTATTCCGAAATATTCCTGGTGTTTTTACATTAACATCATCCAGTTCTCAAGGTCATCAACCTTAGGCCGCGATATGGTATTTTACCGATAGTTAAGAAATCGAAACAAAAATCTACAGGCATATAAATATTCCTGGAAAAGAAGCACTGAGCTAAAACTAACCAGCACATTCTTCACCCAAAATATAGTAACACTGTTCGGTGAACGTAATTTTATTGACGACATGGCTGATAAGTTTTTCTTTCAGCAATTCACCGGCAAATTTACGTCCATCTTTGCGATCTCGGAGACCATCAACGTGTTCCATAAGCCAATCAACAAGATCGCTTCCTAGGTAAAGAATATTTGTCAGATCAACTTAAAAATGAGTTCAGCAATCAGAAAACCTGAGTTAATTCTTGAAGTTATTGGTCAAAGTACTGGAGGCCTAAACGACAAGTACAGCACTACCAGTAAGAAAGAGATTTCGAATAATGAATCAATAATTTTTTTTTTATCTCCGATTCACAGCGTAAGCACATATGAGCGAATAAAAAAGAAAAAAAAAAAAAAGTAAACGCGCATGCCGAAACGATAATATAAATATAGATAGGAAGAAATCAAAACTATATATACGGGAATGACATATATATACATACGTATATAGAAATGGCATATATATACGCAATAATATCAGCTGGTATAATGTATTAAAACCTAGTATAAGGACTTTCGAATCACTGGGTTGTACACTTCATATCCTAGTACCGTAAGCGAACTTCGTCAAAACCAGCTTGCCTTTGATCCAGTTGAAAACAAAGGGACGTCTAGAAGCTGCTTTGTAATTTTGTGCTTCATGCTGAACAAATGAAAATACTATTTGGCGTAAGGCTTACCAAGAAAAGACATCGGGATCGGAATCTTCAGCCATGTTCTGTTTTTGATATCCAAGCCAGAGTTCGGCATAACCATCATTTGAACGATCTTCTTCTTGTCCGTCATTGTATCCAGTCGAAAATGCGCTAAAATAATAAAATATGAAAAAAAAATCCACTAACATAGTGCATCTAACTGAAAAAAAAACCATCACAGTGTTTGAAAATGCTGTTAATAAGACGAAATCCTTCCTGTATTCCTAAAAAACGAAGGCATTCTCGCGTAGCCCAAGTGATAGCTCTTGGCAACAGCAATCACCTGCTTGCAAGGAGTCAAATCCCACTCTTCCGAAAATGCTTCGAAAAAAGCTCATACCGGTGTCCTGGCATTTGCTAGTACCAATTTAACATCAAAATAAAAGGAAGAATCTAAGGGGTTGAATTTCCCACTGGCAGTGCTGGCCTTGATCTTTAACAAAAAACTAGCCAATATTAATTTTAAAAAAAGTTAAATCTGGACCTTTTTAACCAAAATTCGCGAATGTCATCGACAAAAATGGAATGAAAAAATGGGAATATTGTAGAAATTCAGATTTTTCTGAAAACATGCAGTTCTCACCTCCACCAACGATGGTGTTTGGAGCAGATCCGTTCGATGTTGCAGTGCTACTACTTGCCGGACGACCGTACTGTCCAGGTATTGGAGTTGGCGCACCTTCTGAACCTGCAAATTCCTTTGTTGAAGAATCATAAGGTATGAAGTCCAACAATTCTTCAAGTTTACAAATTTAACCGGTGAAAGTCACAAATTCAAAATACTAGTTTCAATGAAATTTATCTAAACTCTTTAGCATGTGCCGCTAAGAAACCTCGTTTCTAAACTTCCTCTATTTTTTGAGTCCTAGATTTATGTGCAAATCGTAGAATTTCAAGTGAATTATAAGCGATCTGAACTTCTTTTTTTG